TCACTTTTTATAATAAAAAATTGTTTTTTTAAAAAATTTGCAATTTGTTTAAATATTTATTGATAAGGTTAGGTTTAGTCAAACCCAACTCGAGGATCCACTAGATTAGGTCTGTTGACCCAATCAAATCCTAAATCCCTTTTTTTTTGAAAGCTAAAACAGCCTCTAGCCTAATTTTTTTTAATGATAATGGGTTATTAGATTCACTAGCCTAAAACCCTTTTTTTTAATGCTTTTAGGCTCACCAGCCTAGAAGCTGTTAAGTATTTTTCATATGACTCAAAACACATCATTTTGAGTCGTCCTTAACCTCTAGCCAAGTCGCTCCAACCTAGTTAGAGCGATAGCTCAAGTCCATCAAAATGAATCTTCCAGGAGCCTATCTCCTCCATCTAACCTCTGTTTATGCCATCTACTTGCCCAAAAAACCTTATTTTCAAACACCCATTTTTTACTTTGTTTACTATTTGAAGTTTCGGCATTATAACTCTCGCACATAATCAATGGATAATGTGTATAACCTTATACAACATTTATATACTACCAAGAAATCAATATAGCATGTTTATATTATAGAAAACATGAATAAAAAATGAATAGAGGCAAGACAACATGTTCATTATAAAAGAAAAATAAGAGTATATGATTTATATGTATATATAGAGTAAGCAAATCATTATTTCATCTTCGTATGCAATAAACGCAACCCAAGAACAACACAGGTCTAATAACAATGTGAGATTTGGAGGAGGCAGTTTACATGAATGAGTTTCATCGACGTTGGGATTGGAAGTATGCGGGAATAAAGTCATGGCATGGACTCAGTTCAAGAACATTGCCAGTGCACTCTAAAAGGAAGGGAGAAAACGAAGAGAGGGAGAGAAGTTTGTATTGTGATGCTAGAGAGAATCAACCAAGTAAAAACCATATTAATGTAAAACAAGAAAGGGAGAGAGGAACAGAGAGAAAAGAAGGAGGAGGGAAAGGCTGAAATTCTCAAAAACTCTTATTCAATAATGCTCAAAAGTTGAATATAAATGAAAAACCTAACTCTATTTATAGAGCTCCAAAATAATAAAATAATAATAACTTAAATTTAAATCCTAAATCCTAAATCTAAATCTAATGCTAAAAATACTAATATCTAAGATAATAATAAAATAAATAATAAATCTTAATTCTAATGGACAAAATCCTTATTCAAATATCCCTAATTAATAATCCTCATATATTAAATAAATCATAATTATCTTAATTAACCATTATCTCATACTCCATCATTTTTCCCTCACTTGAAGAACTCATCTCCTGATGAGTTAAAATTGATGCACAAATTTATCAGGGAAGGATGGGTGGGATAAAATTTCACTTGTTGGATCATATGTTTTGATGATTACAAAATCAAGAGAAAAGGTATTTGTTATGTGTGAAGATATAAAAAATCATGGATGAAGACAAAAGCTCAAGAACATGAAGAATCAAGAGAAGATGAAGAAGTTTAGGATAAGTAATTTAAATTCTCTTAAATTCAATGTGAAAACTTAGAGAGCTTAATCACTTTTCTTAATCATTAAATAAATGCATGATATGTCTCTTTTATATGTATTAAAACTCATCTAAGTATGTTAAAGCTTGCAAACAATTGCCTTCTTGCGTATGGTTTTTCATAAAAAAGTTTGCATAGTAAAGAGGCAGAATCATGCATGATTTTGTAGGTTACTCACGAGTTTTTGCATGTTAGGCACACTGTCAGCTAAATCATGCGAGTGTGAAGAAGTGCTTCATGCATGATTAAGCACTCAGGTTGAATGTTTCCTTACGCTTTATCTCCACATGCAAAATCACACATGAAAGGCTTCATTGTTCACGCAAGTTTTAACACCTATACTTTATTGTATTGTGACAAAGTACAAAACCACGCATGAAACTGATGGTAGCCATGTATGATTTGTCACTTGTTAAATAATCACACTTTATTTTATTGAGTCTTAAATCTTCTCAAGTCAAGCTAAAATTATTCACATGTATGATCATTGATACATAAATCCATATCTCTTGATCATACAAAATCTTGCTTTAGTTATACTTTGTTCCACATGTGAATGTACATCAAATAAATTTATGTATTAAGTGCTTGCAATTTCATGCATAAAATCATTCTGGTTCCACACAAGTTTTGTTCATAAAGAATGGCTTTGGCATTCTACCAGCCATTTCACACGTGAGAGAGTAGGGGTTCCACGCGTGATTTATCACACAGAACTAATGATAGTTCATTATATGCAAAACTATGCATAAGAGCAAATAATGTACTCACAACTTTTAGCATTTTAATTCATAAGTGCAAAATAATGCAAAAGAGCACTATGGTACTCCATGAGTTTTACCACCCAGAACTGAATGTAGATTGTGCTAAACCACACTAGAAAACAATGAGGTACCACACGTGATTAGACACATAAAACTGAATGGTTATTTAAAAATGAAAAACCACACGTGAGAAGACAAGGTGTTCACACGTAATCCATCACATTAAGTTTTATGATACTTCCTTAGTGCAAAATCAAACGTGATTACACCAATTACTTATAAGAAAATGCACCAACAGATAGAATCACTGTTCCAACAGTCTATCAACTTTTAAAAACTATATAAGTGATTCATTTTGAACCAGAACAGAGACTAATGATCTTTGAATTAACAAATTATCATTTGTGTATTTAAATAGATCTCAAATTGTGATTTTACTCATTGCATTCATTCATTATTCATGAAAAAAATTGTGAAAAGCTCTCAAAGGTTTAAAAGCTTTCATTTGTATTTCCATCTACTCTTTAAGAGAGTTTTTTGTAAAAAGCTTTTATTATCTTCTCAAAAATCTTGAAAAGGAATTTTCAAGTGTTATAACAACTTGTTGGATTATAGCAAGGTGTGTTAAGTGAATCAAGACAAAGTTAGTCTTGAGAGTTGTACTGTGGTAGCAAGCACCCATTAAAGCTTGTGTTCTTAGTTGAAAATCTCAAGTGTGATCTTAAGAATTGGACATAGGCCAAGTTTATGGCTAAACCAATATAAATCTCGAATGTGTCATCTTCTTCCTTTACTCTGGCTCTTCACTCTTTTTAAGATTTTAAAAGTTTTAAGTGTCACCCAATTATCCCCTTTATATGCCATCCTATCCTAACATCATCCACGTGTATAGATTTGGAAATCATTTCCAACAAGTGAGCTAGCGATGAACTGCATCTTGTGCAAGACAACATTGATTATTTAGAATCTCTAGAAAACCTTTCTAGTAAACAAGATATTGTTAAAGCTTCCTGTTAAGTGACAAAACATTCTTAACAAATGCAGCTTGTAAATGAGATGAATTTGTAGTAAGGCGAGTTTAGTTTTAGCTAATCACAACTTGGGAAGGTACCACTTGTATAAGAAGTAGAAGAGCTTCCATTGGAGTTTTTAATAGAACCTGTAGTGGTAAAGGTGCTAGAATGGATATACCACACTTATAATTACGCTCCATAAAAGTTACTATAAACTCCTCTGAATTTAAGGTAGGAGTTTGAATCTCTTCCTATCTAATTGTTTGTTTATGTTGATTTAGTGACTCCAAAATTTTTTGAAAAATTTTCTTTATTTTTGTAACCTCTCTGATGTTAAACCGCATTTAACTCCAAATTATGGTTATCCAGGATTTAACCCTCAAAGGATTACCAAATTGTAAAACTTAGTAAAGGAAATTCTTAAAATTATTTCAAAGGAATCCCAATTTTCGCCAATTCAAATCCCAAACATGATTCAAGGACTCTAAATTAGAGTTTCTAAAATAAAGCAGAAGCTTGAAAATTAATTGGGACCCAAATAATGAGTTTTAAAACCCAAAAACAAATTCTATACATAAAATGACACGTGTGCCGCAGCTTACAGCTCATGTGCCGCAACATGTGTCCTTTGTGACAAAACATTCTTAACAGGTGCAGCTTGTAAATGAGATGAATTTGTAGTAAGGTGAGTTTAGTTTTAGCTAATCACAACTTGGGAAGGTATCACTTGCATAGGAAGTAGAGGAGCTTTCATTAGAGTTTTTAATGGAACCTGTAGTGGTAAAGGTGCTAGAATGGATATACCACACTTATAATTAGGCTCCACAAAAGTTACTATAAACTCCTTTGAATTTAAGGTAGGAGTTTGAATCTCTTCCTGTCTAATTGTTTGTTTATGTTGATTTAGTGATTCCAAAATTTTTTGAAATTTTTTCTTTATTTTTGCAACCTCTTTGAGGTTAAATCGCATTTAACTCCAGATTATGGTTATCCAGGATTTAACCCTCAAAGAATTACCAAATTGTAAAACTTAGTAAAGGAGATTCTTAAAATTATTTCAAAGAAATCCCAATTTTCGCCAATTCAAATCCCAAACATGATTTAAGGACTTTAAATCAAAGTTTCTAAAAGAAAGCAAAAGTTTAAAAATTAATTGAGACCCAAATAATGAGTTTTAAAATCCAAAAATAAATTATGTACAGAAAATGACACATGCGCCATAGCTTATAACTCGTGCGTTGCAGCGTGTCTCCTCTGTGCCATGCGCCGCGGCGTGAGGCGCCATGCACCACAACACATTGCATGAAATTTGATAAATCAATGCTGTCATTTGACAGCACGAGGAGCAAACTTCTGATGCATCCCAAATTGCCGTCCAACGTCAGATTGAAGTAGTTTCAATATTTACACAGAGCTTTCTCCTAACTCTAACTAATGGCACAAGTTTCACATTTAAACTCATTTTCTATAAAAAGTTGGACACCTAAACCTACTTTAACCACATTTTCACAAAATCTCCCAAATAAGGTGTCCCAAGCACCAACCCTCCAACCACATTCAATGGACTCTTGTGGACTCGTGCAATGCACTACACACAATCAAACATACTTATATCATAAAATCATCACTTAACCCCAATTTTCACAAACATAAAAAGGGGAGGAAAAGTTGCACATAATCAACAATTTCATTCCAAATTTCTCAAATTACATATGTTTCTACTTGCACAAATATTTTGGCCCTATCTACAGGTTCACAATAAAAACTCACTAACTCATGGCACAAAATACACTAATTATAAACAAAATCATGCAAGTAGTGCACAAATCATGTCAATTAATCCTAGTTGACAATTACATTAATAAATACACATGTAAGTAGCAAAAGAGAGCCATATAAAGGATTACTCCAACAATCCTAAACCTCTGTATGTTTTCTCCAACTCGAATCCGATGAGTTAAGTCCTGAAAATATTGAAAATTGAGGGGTGAGTATAACCACTCAATAACCAAGTTTTACTTAACCCTTACAGTTGTATATTAATCATAAATAGATGCAATTAGGCAAACAAGTACATATATCACATAACACTAGGCCATGGTTCACAAAACTAACAACCATATGACCAAACTTGCCACAAAATACTATATCATGTTATTTTGCAAAAACATAACTCAGGGTCATAAAAATAACAACTATGCGCCCTCAACACATGCCGGGCCACAAAACTAACAACCATATGGCCAGACTTATATGCATGATTATATACCAATCTTATATCCTCCTGTTACCTCCGACACGAAACCGGTGGCTATCTCGTGGCTACATCCTTCACGGACTAACCTAGCCTTTTACTTGTGAGGAGCTACCAGGCTAAGGTGAACTCATTCACTTATATAATCCAATTTCCCCCAATACTAACAACCATAGGGTGTCGTATCCCTAATCTAGCCTCCTCATGAACCGGTGGAGACTAATTAGGTTTGAGTCCCTCGTAGAACAAGTAGGATAGTCCAGAAACAACCATAGGACAAAGGCTACCTCCCTATTCCAACGATCGGTGCCAAGGGTAGTTCCCAATTTCAATGATCACTATCAATACCATGTGAATTTCAACCAATATATTCCTCTCCCTAGGCGAACTCCTACCAATGATCATGCTATGCACATGTTTCACATAATATGCATTTTTTAACAAATGATTCATAACACATGAACTTACATAATATAACACAATTCTCCACCTATAGTAATAATTCACAATTAATTTTGCAAAACATCAAGGGTGGCAAAATCAAAGTCTTCTTTCTTAAAAATCACTTCACAAATCAAGCACTTTGCCAATATACGTCATCAATTTTACTCATAAATCACATTTCATAAAAACAATTAACATTCAACTATAAAGATTAAGTTCCTCCCGGTTACCTCAAACCTTTGAGAGATCAAAGGTTTATGCCTCACTATACCAACTTCCCAAAGCTTCAACAAGCTCGAATAGTGCCAAAACAAACCTCTCTATATCCATACCACAAGAATATCATCATTATCTAACTCTTAAAGCTTATTAACACAAAACTCCACATAGACTATTTTTAATCAACTCATAATCAATACCCACTCATACCTAATAGGGTCATTAAATTTCACTAATGCACCTTATCATTAGTAACACCTCAAACCATCATTAATGCATATTAAACACTCCCAACTACCATTTTGATGATAATTTTTGGATAATAAATGCTCCCATGGGTCATCCACTTCTAAAATTCTCAATGTGGTGTTCCAATACATTAAACAACTCCTTGTATACTCATTATAACCACTGGAATCAGACACATGCTTCTGTGAACCGAAAATTTATTTCCTAACTCAAACCCTACCATAATTCATCATAAATAAGGGAGAGAAAGAAAAACAAAGGCACCATAATTTTACCTTGAGTGTTTGAAAGCTTCAATCTAGCCTTAAAAGTACCTAATACTGTGCCCTAGCAAAGCCAAAGTCAAGCTCTTCATTTCCTTCTTTTCTCTTCTATTTTTGCGCAACACACGAACTAAATTATCAAAATTTTGGCCGTGCATCGCGACACACGATGCCTTCAGCCATGGCGCATGGCACAGAGAAGTCCGTTACATTTAAATTGCCTCTATGCACCGCGGCGAACCAACCATGCGCCACAACAGTTGGCACAGAGAATGGTTCTTCACTTTTTCCTCCTCTTTACTTGCTCAGGTGGCTCGCCATCAATCCAAACTCACTTCTAGGGCTGAAATCACATCAATTTTGCTAAGTTAAGCTCCTCTGGCCACACACCTCATTAACTCACTAATCACCCTCATTAGGTTAATAAATCAGGATTAAAATTTTTCAAATGTTACAATTTTTTATATAAATGTACACCTTCTTAAATTTGATGTCTCAATCCAATATTGGATTCAACATTGTGACGTTGACTTCAGCTATTCACATTTCAAATTTGACATCAAAACTTTCATCCTTGATAATCTGTCGTGCATATTCAACCCTATAACATGCTTCATAACCATACCATTGATCATATGCATACCAATATTGTCATCATTTTTCAATTAGTTTCCTCGAGTAGCCTTTGCTATATTGTGGATGTCCAACACATCGAGGTGGGGTGCCATAATAATTATGGCACTTCCTATATGGGCATTCATGGTAATATCCCATTTAAAATCATGAACATATGAATTAAAAATTACTCTTCAAATATTTTATATGATGATATGTGGCTTTGAGGAAGATCTGAATTATTTTATGAATCTCAACAAGAAAAGCAACATAAGGAAGGGAGGTGGAACCAAGCTTTGGTACCAAATTGATGTAAAACAAAAAAGGGAGAGAGGAATAGAGAGAAGAGAAAGAGGAGGGAAGGAGAAAGGAAACTCTCAAAAACTTTTATTCAATAATACTTAAGCTGAATACAAATGAAAAAACTAGCTCTATTATAGAGCTCTAAAAATAATAAAATAATAATAATTTAAATTTAAATGCCAAATCTAAATCTAATCTTAAAAATACTAATATCTAAGATAACAATAAAATAAATAATAAATCATAATTCTAATGGACAAAATCCTCAATCAAATATCCCTAATGGGTAATTCTAATATATTAAATAAATCATAATTATCTTAATTAACCATTATTCCATATTCCATCACATATAACTTGTTAACTCCCACACACTCACACCACTATCTTTTTTTTTTAGTCAGACACACCACTATCTTTGGATGTGCATAAGGGGCTGAGGGTGTCTCCATTCTCATTTCGTGCATTTCCCTCCACTTCCTCAAAACGACATCGTCTAGAGTAGGAGGAAAAAAAATGAAAGCCAAATAATGTTTCATTTTCGTCTCCACCACCATCGCGCGGGAACTTGGCTTTTTTTTCTCACTCTTCTAGAACAGAGATGTGCTCACATAGCAGGAAAGAAATTCTAACCAAGGAAAGATTTTGATTAAGAAAGGATTTTAATTGTAATTTGGTATGGTTCCATTTTTCTCCTATGTACTGATCATTTCTATCCCTCATTTAAACATAAAACTTACTCAACGTAGTTTCCATTCTCTCTCTTTCTCCCTTACATTGGTCATTTTCCCCCCTATTTTTATGTTTAAATTTATTTTGAAACACATTACTAATTTGCCATGGACTTGTGCTGCATAGAAATTTTTTTCATGATAGTCACAACTACAAGAAAGCAATGCTGACCATTTAACACGTTATTATCCCTTAGCTTTGCATAAATGAATGCATCACTAAGCTCTTGGGTTATTTTTAAATTCATTAACAGTTTTTTGTTAACTCTCATGAATAACAATGTTTTTTATTTTTTATCTGCTTACTCTTGGTTTTAGTGTTTTTGTTTTTCAGCTTTTCTTGTTAGCTTTAAGTAATGGATACAAGTATGACTCCAACAGTTGGTCTTGAATTTGATAATCTACAAGAGGCATGGCAGTATTGGATTGACTATGGTGGAAGAATAGGATTCAATGTTAGAAAGCAAAACTCTAATAAAAGCAAGAAGGATGATTTTATCATATACTGTAAATATGTTTGTTCTAAGGAGGGAGTGAAAAAAGCAGACAAAAGAGACTTTAAGACTAAGAAGCCTCAAAAGGAAACAAGAACAAGGTATCAAGTGAAAATGATAATTAAAAAGGAGAATGAAAGATTTAGAGTTAGTGAACTATTTTTGGACCATAATCACCCTTTAGAGCCCCCAAAGACTATTCATTTGTTAGCATCACAAAGGAGATTACCAAAAGCACAAGGCTATGCTTTGGAGGTTGTTGAAGAATGAAAATACAGGGATTGAGAAAAAAGCCTCTTTTAATTTAATGAGCAAATATGCAGGAGGGAGGGATAATTTGGGGTATACTAAAGAGGAGGTAAAGAGTTATCTAAGATCAAAGAGGCAACGAGACATGGTCTATGGTGAAGTTGGGTTTCTACTTCGCTATTTTCAACAACAATTAACAAAAAATCCTTCATTTTTTCATGCTTATCAAATGGACTCAAAAGAGCAGATAACTAATGTGTTTTGGGTTGATGCAAGTATGTTTTAGGGATGTCATTTCATTTGATACAAAATACTCTACAAATTGTGACAACAGACCACTTGCCATTTTCTCAGGTTTCAACCATTACAGAGAAGTAGTGATATTCATTATTGCTTTATTATATTATGAGACCATTGAGTCTTTTAAATGGCTTTTTGAAACCTTTTTACAAGCACATAAGGAAAAAATGCCATTTATTATGTTTACTGACCAAGATGCAGCAATGGCAAGAGCCTTAGAAGAAATAATGCCAAATCTAAAGCATGGCTTATGCACATTCCAGATCAATAGAAATGGGGTGAAATATCTTGGGAACTTAATGAAAGATGGCTCTCATTTTCTAGGTGAGTTTAATTGGTGCATGTATCATTGTAAGGAAGAAACAAGGTTTGAGGAATCTTGTAAAGAATTATTATCAAAATATAATGTAAAAGAAAATCCATGGTTGATGTCTATTTACAAGTTAAAAGAAAAATGGGCAGCATGTTATATGAAGCACTCAAAGACTCTTGGTATGAGAAGTACACAACTTAGTGAAAGTATCAATTTATTTATAAAAAGTTGCACTAATCCTGAATTGAATATTAGTCAATTCTTCAATGTCTTTGAACAAGTTGTTGTGGATAAGTGGTATAATGAATTGCAAAGTGATTTCAACTCACGTCAGAAGTTGCCAAGGTTGATTTTGAAGAGTTCATCTATGCTACAACAGCTTTCTCAAGTTTACACACCACCAATTTTTGACTTGTTCCAGCATGAGTATGACTTACATGATGCTACATGTATAAAAAAGAGGAAAGAAAGAAAAATAGTTGCAAATGATGATGCTTTTGTTATTGATTATGTAATCACAATGGTTGATAAAAAAGGAGAGTAGAGATTGACATTTGAGCCATCAAGAGAAGATAAAGAGGCTGTCATTACTTGTAATTGTAAGAAGTTTGAACAATGGGAAATATTATGCTGTCATACATTGAGGATATTACTTGTAATTAACTGATACACTATTTATAGTATACAAGTCTAACATAGATAGTTGCAGGTAGAAATTTTGATTACCTTGGAATCCATTTGGGATCACAGAAATTCAATCAAGCACAAGTCAAAGGAGGTTCAACCCAATCTGTTTATCCAAAAGGTTAATTGGCTTATGTCTTCTATTTGCTTTTCTATTGTTAACAAGTTGGATGCAGGTAGAATTCAATCTTTCACTCCAAGTAGATTTGATACTGAAATCCAGAAAGCTAGAGCAAGGAACAATTGGTTTCTTTTTGTTGACTTCCAAAAAGTGAACACAAGAAGGCACAAAAGTTTAATGCTAAAAAGATTATCTTTCTGCAGTATCTTTATCTATCCTTTTTCATAATTTTGTTGACTTCTCTATGGACTGAATTTCTTCCTTTCCACCCATCGAAAAACAACGCTGACAATTAGAAAAATTCAAGCTGAAACAGTAACCTGATTTGATCATTACGCAACAGCATTGAACCAAATAACACTTACATGTTGAAGAAGCTTCTCTTCAGGAATTATAGAGCACAATCACTTGAGCATATCTTGATGTTCATCAGATGATACATACAAGGCAAGTCAAGGAAGAAATTCAGCCATAATTTTGACTTGTAAGCTGCAAAGAAATTGCCACACCAATGATGCCTACTCTTTAAATGAAATGTTCTCAATAACCAAGGGGAAGACCTGCCCAATGCAATGACTTGAAATTGGAATTTGTAGAAGTTGGTATCAAAAATGTACATGGATGCTTGGTGAAAGAAAAATTTACAACCCAAGTATGCCATGAAATTATCTAACAGCAAATAATATATACCATAAATATTAAATATATCCACATATATCATATTTGGAAAGGCATACTCTCCATAACAGCACCATTTTGATTTTCCATACATAGAGAAAATTAAGATGGGTTAGTTTGTCACATAACTAAAACACCTCTATTCAATTGCTGAAGCCAAAATGGTCATCAAAAGAAAAGAACTGCTTTCTACCAAAGATTCTTCAATTGTTTAAACTTTATTATGTGTTTGGTTATATTCAGGCCCAAAAAAAAAAAAACACTTAAATGAAGGCAGGAGATAGGAAAAGGTCAATTCAAGACATTATGCAAAGAACATCCTTGAAAGTTGATTATAATATTCAAATTTACCCATTAACTTTGAAAATCTCGTAAAACAAGGAATGAATGATGCCACAAGAATCATCATATATTTACCTGCTCCTCTTCCTTAAACATATGCTGGCTAATTGATGTTCGAAGGGAACCAGTGCAAGAAGCTAATTCTCTACGACAGCCCTCTTCCTCTAACAAATTAGAATTTAGCAGATTGAACAATTGACCTTCTAATAAATAAATAAATATGATCATGGAAGAAGTTTTATTAGCGCTCGCACATTGGTTTAACAATAATCAAATGATAAAATTCAAAGACAAAGAAAACTTCCCTAACCTAGTGTCTTGCAAATTCAAGGACAGACAATGAAAATGGCATATATAAGCAATTCAAAAGTCTTATGCTTGACAGAGAACCTGAAGATGCCTTCTTCCAAATAAAATAACACATAGAGAGGACAGAAGATTGCTTACAAGAAGTTCATTCATATCAACTAGATGTTTGAATTCTAGCCCTTTCTTCCAAAGAACGTCCTGGAAGCACAAAACCAAGAAGCATGACCTCCATGCTAAAAAACAAAATCCTGCATGAGGAGCTTGCAAAACAAATAAAGAAAAAGTTAAAACACCATAAATGGCAATGCACAAGTGAGAAGTTACTACATCAACAAAAACTAAACTCAAGCCATGATGCGTAGATAATTCAAGCTTGGCTTGTAGGATAAAAAGTAAAGAAAATCACCGGCTTATCAAAGATTGATGCATCCCATGCTAGCCCAGGATTAAGTAGTAAGATCTACAGAAAAGATGAAATTCAAATTAACATCACTTATGGCAAAAAAGGAAATAATGTCATTCTGTAACCTAATGAAACATTTGAAATATTAAGAAGGGGCTCATCGAACTAATGATGAAGCAGCAATAGAAACGAATCACAAATTTTTTTAATGGCTGCTCACTGACTCTGACGATGATATTCTCAGAGTCTCCGTCATCACGTCATTCTCGTTCTCCACTTACAAATCAAACATGCTCAGCCATCGTTCTGCTGCCATGGATGGAGTGAAACTTATTGTCGCCGAGACTATCAACCCATTTTCAAAATCTCAAACTTCAGCCTTTACGCACGCTTCGAATGGTCAAAACACAGAGGGAGGGAGGGAGGGAAATTTGAGATTTAGGGTAGATACTGGAGGGAAATTGGGACCGTGGGTTTTGGATTCTGAACAACTTCTACCATACAATTTAAATTAAGGCCGTTTGGTTTTGATTGCATTTCCCATTCAGGAAAGACTTTTGAAAATTTTTAGATATTAAAGTTGTTTAATTTTCTCAAATATTCCAAAGTCCATTTGAAAAGTACGTTTAAAAAATTCCAAAAGTCTATTTATTCCATTTAACTCTAGGTAGCTTTTTGAAAGTGCTTTCAATAATTTTGTTAACAGATGATTCTTTTGCCTAAAAAATGCACGGCTAATTCTTGAAATACTTTGATTAAAAAATTTGAAAATTTTTCATATTTAAACACATGTTTTAATAAAAAAATTAGCCAAATAAAAAAAACAAAATTATTAAAAAGAAGTAATATAAAAAAAACTGTAATAAACAATTAAATACTTTCTTTAGAATATTGTGATAAGAATTAAACATCCTTCTAAAAAATGCCTTATACTATGAAGAAGGGATTGATAATTATATAAAACATTTTTAAAATAAAAAATTTTAAAAAATATATCAAATATTTGTTATATTTAAAATAAAAATTAACTGATTTAATTCACACATAATTAAAATAAGAGTAATTGTCTCTTAGATTTGACTATAAGGGGAATGACAGATACATCCTTAGAAGACTAATTAATTTAAATTAGGTCTCAAATGTCAAACTTTTGCAAGTTTGTTTCTTAATTTTGTAATTTTATTATGATAAATTTGTAACTTATTTTTAAAATTTTAACATGATTGAAGAATAATTAAATTATTTTTCTTGTTAAAATTTAAAATACAAGTTGTAAATTTATCACAATAAAATTGCAAAATTGAGAGTTAAACTTGCAAATTTCTAGAGTTTGATAATTGGAGCCTTATTTGAATTAATTAGTCCTCTTAAAACCTCTCTATCATTCTGCCTTGATTATAATTAGATTTAGTTTATATATAAAAAGATTTAGTTAAAATTTTAATTTATCCTGTTATTTATTTTAAATTTTGTTTATTTATATCATAGTATTAATATATTTTGTATATGATAATTATAATCGTACACATAAATACTTTATTAATTAATCTCCCCCCCCCCCAAAAAAAAACCACATACACTTATAAATCTATCATACGATATCAAATTATTATTTAAAATAATTATAATCACACAAATTTAATTACTCTCTCTCACTTCCATCTTCCTCTCCCACACTTACTAAATCAATTTTGCTTGTCAAATCAAAATCAAATAGTCTAAAATTAATATAATTCTCTTCTTTTAATAAATATAGAATTTAAATAAAAATAATCTTACTTGTATTACCGTGCTAAATAATAATTTTATATGAAAATTTACAAGTTAAAAATTTTAAATTATAACCGTTAAAATCAAATTTGAATTCTTGCTACAATATTAGCTATGAAACTCATAACACCTCTCTTATACACTAACATATTCTCTCTTTGCCATGTTCACAAACCCTCAATCCCTCATGCACACTCCTAGGTACACACTATCTCTCTACCTCATTCTTCATGGAAAATTGGAAATATGTGCGTACTTACTTGTAATGTCTATCTTCCCACCCTTTTCCTCCCTCTTTCTATCCCCCCTTCTCAAGACCACATATAGTGGTGAAGCTACTCATTGGTGAGGATGTGCAAATGCTACCCCTCACCACCTTCTCATAAGCTTGTATTTTTCTCTCATATACACATCACTCTCTCTTTATTGATATGTCTCTCTCCCTCTCTCTCACATGCTACATTATTTATCTCTCTCCTAAACACAATTTTTTTAAATTATTTTATATAATATTTACTTCAAAATTTCTTTAAAAACAAATATTTATTATATAAGTATGATTTTAAAAAAAATAAATAAATAAATAACTTGCAGTGGTGACAATAAAGTTGTCGCCATTGAAATGATTCTACGGCGACTAACCATTGCTGCTAAATAGTAGTTTCAATGGCAACAAAACAATGTCACCACTAAATCTAATCTATTAACTTTGACATCTAGCAACAACAAGAAGGTCGTCGCATATTATTTGACATTCAACAAGGACTATACATTATTGTGGCTAAAAGTATATCTTTCAGTGGCAACTTTTGTTGTTACCACTGAAAGGCAGACTTTTGACGATGACTTTTTGTTATCGACACAAAATATCACACTTCTAGCGGTGACACTTTTTGTCACTGCAAAATGTGTAACTTTTAGTGGTGACATTTTTAATCGTAGCTAAAATTCATCACTAAAAGCCAATCTTTTTTTTAGTGTATCTACATTCACATTCATGTACGTATATGAAAAATTGGAAATTCCTCTTGTGTTTTTCAATTACTTTATAATACTGATTTTAATTTTAGGGATAAAGAAAATTTTAATCATTTAAATTTGCCTCAGTTATTGATTTGGTCTCCCAAATTTAATTTTTATTGATTTGGTCCCTTAATATGTTTTCTTAAATTTTCATGTGAGTCATTTAAGTTTTAAAATATAAATTGACTCTCAAAATAATTTAATGTGTAAAGTATAGTAATGACTTGTTATGTATATGTAGTTGAAAGGGAACAAATTAACCCTTAAATTAATTTACTTTTTATTAATATAATAGCTTACACTATGTTTTGTTCTCATTGTTTTTTTAAAATTTTAGAGATTTTTTCCTATTTAAATAATTATACTTATTTTCATTATCTATGCTATCAAATTTTAATAGTGTAACGCCCTTTCTAAACAATAAGGACCAAATCAATAACCGAAGTAAACTTAAAAGACTCTATTGATAAAAATTAAACTTAAAGGACCAAGTAGATAATGAAGACAAATTTGAAAGACTAAAATTTTTACTATCCCTTAATTTTATTTTAATTTTCTTACATCCTTTGTAATAATTAATCATTGATGAAGATATTTAATATGTGGGTTTCAAGTTATTAATAATTGTGTATCTAAGTTATTTTAGTGAAGAAATGCATCTCTTTCTTTTTATTCAAATATGTAAGACCAGATGTTACAAAATACAAATGCATGTAAATGTGCATGTGTGTTTATTGGCTAATTTGTTGATGAACATATAATATATGTAATGCTTACTAGTTGGGATTCATTAGGTGAAAATGACTTTGTTGGTCCAAAAATAAGATTGAATAGCTAGATTTTTTTAAATAGGCCATTACAATGTACAATATATGAAAGGCCAATCATATACACAACTTGATACAACACATATATAAGGGGAAAAAAATGCACTTCACATTATAGCAAAATATGATTTTTAAACCCACATATCAAAACCAGTTAATGTGCCAACGATTTAAAAATGGGGGTTGTGGCATTCTCATAAATAAAAAAGAAGTGAGGATGATTTCTAAACCGATTAACAAAGGAACCAGTTTAAAAATTAATATCTAAACTAGTTATAAAATAATAACCAGTTTAGATATATATTAATATTTTTATTATTTTATTTTGAAGAGATATCGAAACCGGTTTTTATGAATGATCGGTTTAGATATTGATTTATAATTTTTATAAATCATTTTTAAAGATATCCTTTAACTTTAACAATATCATGGAGGTAAGTTATAGTACCTGCTACTTTAACATATATCATATAATCATGATAGATACAATCTAAAAATAATGTGATATGAAAGTGACAATTTCTAGTCAAAGTGATATATAGGAGAAAGGAAGATTACCTGATATATACACACTTATGCTAGTATCTAAGACTAGTCCCTTATGATATCATTTTGTGGATTTCATAAGCATGGATATTGTGCATATAAGAAAGGCAATCTAAGTTTTGACTGTAGAGGGATTAGATTGGCCGAGAGAAAAGTGTATATAGGTAAATTTAGAACACCTAAAACATAAAGTAACATAAGATCAAATCAACTTTAGGATTATTTTGTGCTAATTCTTAATCGGATTTCTAGTACAAATGATTGTTGGAGACGTTGAGCCTATGCAGTCATGGCAAAGAATCTTTTATGAAAAGAAGGAAGAGAAAGAGATATGACCAATAATATCTACCCCAAGAAGTGTGAGTGGGAGATGTTGGTTTTTGACATATAGTACACCCATGATGGACCAATATTGTTGGCCCAATCCCACATTATATATTAGAAGGTCAAATTAATAAGGGAAAAATATGAGGGTCCTTAACAGCAAAATATCCCAAAATTCATTTTGAGTAATGAGAAGGAACGGTTAAAGTGTTAACCATATGCAAGTTGCATTTATCTTCATGCATGGAAGCTGTTTAGCAAGTGTATGTGAAAACTATATCTCTTATGGGAAGATATTAATGATTCAGACTAAGAAAATCACTAGTGCTCTTTTCTCTTCCGCTCTTCCTCTCATTAGAAAATCAGTAGTGCTTTTTTCTCTTCCGCTCTTCCTCTTGGTGCATTTGCTGTAAACCAAGAATTGGGTTCGAGTAACTCTATTCATCCACATAGAGGTATGATCTAGTGTAACTTATAGGTACACTTTCAGACTCCATAAATCTACATATGTATTGAATAAAATTGGTAAATGATGTTTAATCAAAACCCAAATTGATATAAGAAGCAATTGGCAACAAAATACTATTGTTAAGACACTTTAATGGTATTCCTTTAAAATGAAATGGTAATTAAGAACAAAAAAATATTTATGAGAAGCCAATAAGAAAAAAATTAGACAATGACTCAAGGTCAATAAAAGGGAAAAAATTAAAAGAAATTAGTTATATGCAATCATTTTCATGTCAAGGAATCATTATCTAAGTCATTTAAATAAATTAGTTGGAACATTATATTGATCTCTACTTCTACTTGAAGTGCAAGTTTTTTTTCTTTATGTACGTGTTGAAATCAAGTCAGTGTACATTGATCTCTACTTTTTCTTGAAGTACAATTTTTTTCTTCATATATATATGCGTGTTGAAATCAAGTGGTGTATATTGATCTCTA